CTTGTACCTTGTGTGTAGTGCTGTATCACAGCTCTTTAACCGTGCAGAGTTACACGTGTGCATTTAAAATTGGAGGGATGGTTTTAGGTAACCGTCTCTCGTTACCCTCGGTGGAGTACCACTGCAGTACCAGATTCAGGACTGCACGTGAAGAAAATTAGGCTGCTTTTGTGTCTTGCTGAGAACGTTATGTCATCAAGATGCTGTACTGAAACCACTGCTTATTTCTGCCAGAATTTATGTGCTTCTTGGAGATATCATCCAAGTGTTGTTGCACACTTTCTGCTGACCAACCAGCTGGTGTTGTCGCAGAAGATATTTCTACCTCAGAGTCTGTAACTGATTCTGCTCCTTTGGATAGGATTTGTTCTTGTATTGCTTACTAGTGCTGTGGTTTTTAATTTATTTTTTCTGAAGTTATCTGTAAGACTTGACAGTCTTTCAAAATTAGATGTGCTTGTGCACTCTATGAGCCTTCTCTTCTTTGTGTGGATGAGGCTTTTTTCTGTGGTCTGACTAAAACCTTGGGTCAAGTCTTTCACCATATCCTGTAACTGATTTAGTACCTCGTTGTCTGACTTGCTTCTGTTTTCTTTCTTACTCCCCTTTCCTCATCTGTTCTTGCTAACCATTGTAATAAGTATTCTTTCATCCATCAGAAACGTTTGACACGAAAACAGTCACCAGGTAACCCTGCTGTGCGTGGTATTGGCAGGGACTGATTTCCTACATCTGTAAGAGTCCCTGTGTTAAGAGTGTTTGGCTAGGAAATAAAAGTGTTAGAATTGCTGCTTCTGGGCAACAGAATCAGTTAATAGAAATAATCTATCTCATCTTCTGGTGAATGGAGTGAGATCAGGTTCCTGGGCAAGTACTGGACTCTTTTATAGTTTGGTCATCTTTTGGAAGACCTTGTCTTGCTGTTGTGCAACTTCCCTTTTGCTGCAAATTGAGACTTTTTGTGATGTTTGCATTTGTCTAGCCTGCTGCACTAGACATAGACGTCACTTCTGCCCTGACAAGAGGAAAAAAAGTGTTCTGTAATATTTTTGAAGAAAAAGGTTAGCTGGCTGAACACTTTTAATACTTCACTTTTCTTATCGTGGGTAGTCAGTTTTTGGGAATCCTCCAGCATCTACATATTAAATTTTTCACCCTATCATGTCAACAGTTTACATGAATTTAAGCAGCTTATGTGGGCTCTGCTCAGCTGCTTGGTTGAAGCTGAACTTGTGATAGTAATGGAGATGTTAGATGGTATGTTGCAACCAGCAGCCTGTGGAACAAATGGAATCTCCTTTTCATGGGAAAGTAGCTGAAATGGAGGACAACCCAGTACTAGAGTTCCTGTTACTCACTCTTGGAACTGGTCATTTGTGTCTTGCCTTCAGGTAGAGGGCACCCACATAGGACATTTTCAAAACAGAGAGGTCTCTATACTGTCTGGAAAGAGGAGGTATCAGATGGTATCTGATGTTCATGTATCTTTATGATGAATGTTAAGACAATGTGGATCATATTTATGAACCAGAGTGGAGAGGAGGCCAAATAACTTTTTAAATGCTTCTATGCTTTACTTGAACTAATGGTGATGGAGTTACTTCTGAATATACGCTGTTTCATGTGCTAGATGAATGGTTTTGGAAAAGTCATGGCATGTTTTTAAGCTGACAGTCCTGGTAGCTAGCACTGTGTTAGAAAGCAGAGCATTTTAACTTATGTGTGAGCAGAGTTAACCGTGGCGTCAGAGCTGCTGACTGCAATATCCTTGATGGTCAGGAAGGCTCTTGTGGCTCTGCAGGAGGATATGTAAAGCAAAATGTTAGGGTGAAAGGACACTGGGTGCTTTTACTGTTTTGCTACAGTGTATTGCTTTTGTTTCTTCCGTCAGCATCGATGTGCAGTAGGTACACAAGTTTTGGTATATTCAGACTTTTCTTATTTCTTTCTGATTCCCTTCTTGTTGCCCCCTTCTGCACTTTAAACCTAATGTTTTGAGCTGTTGCTAGTTATTTCCGTGTGGGGTGTGGACCCCGCTGTCATCTTTCCTGTAGATTTCTGAGTTTTGCTATTCTACCATTGATCGCTGAGCTTGGTTACCTCAGCAGATTAAATCCAGGGCAGATTTTGTTCGAGCATTGCTCTGGGCCGTTGTGAGGAAGCAGCTCCCTTGTTAAGTTAATGACCTGCGTCCTGCCTCCAAGGCCTTCTTTTGCTGTGCAGCCCTCGGGTGATGTACAGCATCAGTATTTATGAACTGTCTCTGTCCTCCTGTCATGGTTCCTCACCTAAGGATGCAAATAGTGTTTTACTGTCCTTGAAGGCTCTTTCTGCTGCCTCTGCCAGTCTCTGCCAGCTGAATTGCTACTTCCTTTCCTTTTCTTAATTTATCTGACAAAATTGCTTTCCTCAGGACAAAGAAATAGCACCAATCAGCTCATTTATGTTTTATTTTCTGATGTAATTTGCTGCCCACATCTTTGCGTCAAAGTTTATCATTTACTCTTTCTCACTTCTACCTGCAGACGTGTTTGCTGTTCCCTTTTCATGGCTACTGCTCTCAGCCTGCTGGTGGCTGTGCTCCTCCTCTGTCAGGATTTCATTTGTGCTGCTCTCTGTGCCTGGTGTTTCTTGCAGCACTTCGATGACTTTTCAGGTGCCAGAGGAAGGAGAATGCTTTTTCATGCACACCAAGCGTCACCAGACATAACCTTATGAGCACATTCATCTTTCCTTGAAGTTTGTCCATCTGTTTCCTCTTCATAAGGTCTCCTCACAGACATTTGCCTGTGTCCTGGGCCTTGGCTTGTGCACTGGAGTGAAGGTTGTCCTGCACTGGGAATTCAAGTGTCTGTTTCAGCCACTTCCCATCTTGTTTTCAGTCTAGAATGGAAGTGTTTTCTCCTAGGTGATACCCATCATCTCACTCGTGTTTTTGTAATGCCACCTCTGCTGCTGCTTAGCTTCTGCCAAGTGCTCAGGAGGCAAGTTTTCTTGTAAACACAAAGCTGTATTGCAGTAAAGTTACTACAAAGCCAACTAAAACTGCCTACTTGGAAGGTTATTTTTTACTGATTTTTTTTTTGCAGCAAATGATTTGAGGAACATACTTCTTAAAGGTCACATGTCTCTGTTTTCATGCTGTAGGAACAGCATGTTGTGCCTGTAACAACACCTGCTGTACTGATACTCTAACTGTACTTGGGAGTTTGCAGCATTATGCTGGGTGGAACACTCCTCCCATACCCCTGTGGTTAGGTGCAGTAGAAATGCTAAGGAATGGAACTTGGTCAAGGGACCAGCCCAAAGAGCTTGTCGACATAGGGAGGAAAAATATAAGTAAGTACAGGCAGAACAAATAATGAAGGAATGAAATCTGTGTAGGAAGGGTACTGGCAGTGGTCTCTGCAGATCTGCGTGACTTTCAATTTTGAGTTTGTGTGTGTTTGCGTGCCTGCGGAAGGGTGCCTTAGCAAAGGAGATTTGCAAGGAGGATTAGAGGAGAGCACTGAGAATATTTGCAAAAGCTATTCCATATGAGGTAGGAGCATGTGCCAAGTGCTAGTTTGAAACGTTCCCAGGATGGTGATGGTGGCTGACGTCATGTGCCAATAAGAGGTGCAAACTGACCTCTTGATACTGGCAGAGAGAAAATGGTGATGTGGGGAAAAGTGAAGACAGGTCAGCTGTATTTTACGTGGAAGAGAATGGAAGACAGAGGAGGGAAGCAAAGGTACCATTAAAGTGACAGGGAACAATAACAAGATTTTTCTTGTAGGGACGAGAACAGTAATGTTACATTGGTCAGTACTCGATTACAAGTTGTTACAGTGACTGAGACTCAGTCTAATCCCAGCTATTTGCTTTAGTTGGGTGAATCAATAGGGAAGGACTGGAGACTGTCATGTGAAGAAAGCAGTCCTAGTCAGGGTATGAAGGTTTAGGGACTGAGTGAAATAGCATTGCTAGGTTGTGCCTCTGACTGGCAGGGAAAATAGTGAAGTTTTCCAGCAGGAGAGAAGAGAGAAAAGGAAAAAGAAGGGAGCAGGCAGCAATATGAAATTAAGGGCTTGGTTTCTCCTCTTGGGTCAGAATTAGTGCCTAGGTATCCAAGAAACATGAAAGAAATTGAGATTTTGATTCAGGCAGGAGGAAATGGCACTATGCTGGCTGAGTTGGTAGCATAGTTATTGCCCATGTGTAACATGTGGGAAGGAAAACAGAGCTCCAGAGGCCCAAGAGTAGCAGGGCATATGGCCCATCATGGAGGCAACTCCAGTCCTGCAGATTGAAGAAGGAAAGGGAGAAGATGAAACTTAATTGAGGCAGTAGGAGCAGAACTAAAGGGTTATAGGTAAGGAAGCTGAAGGAGGATGAAATTTTGAGAAGGCGAATGTGATCAGATATTTCTATGGTAACAAACAGGTAACAAAAAAATGAAGCAAGAAACTGGCTCTGAATTTTGGGTAAGGATTTGGAGTGTAAGTCAGAATTAAGTGAGAAGAAGAAGTAAAAGGAGGGGACATCATGGAGCTTTACAGGTGAAAGTGAGAAGGGAGATGAATGGCACTGACATGGAGGTGAGGTTGGAAGTCAATTTTTGAGTTAGGGTCTTGTTTGGAGATTCTGAAAAGGATTTGTTTGGGGAAATAGCAGTGGGTAGGGAGAGATGGCAAAATGTGAGAATGAAGGAAAGAGTAGGCAGATGTGAAAGGAGGATACTGAACTGTTACAGAAGGAGAATGAACAGGAGGTCAAAGATACTTAAGGTTTGTTTTGACGCTGGGAAGGGGTGCCTGTATTTGAAGGACACCTATCTGTTCCTTTGAGATAATGAAAGGAAATAGATCACAAATTGAGCACACAAAGTGAAGGGCATGGGGAATTAATAGACTCGTAGGGTTGAGGGAGAACTTGGCTCTGTGCATGGGTTTGATTTGTGAGGTGTCATATCTGCTACATGCTCTGTAAATCTCCATTTCTTGATTATGTTTTTACAGTGCGACTCCATGACAGTATTTCAGAAGAAGGTTTCCATTACCTCGTCTTTGATCTGTAAGTGTCTTGCTTTGGCTGTGATGCTTCACCAGTGATACGGACATGTGGATGGCTGACTAAGAATGGAATAAAAAGCACCTGCATTAATACAATTCTCCCTTTCTCTTTTGAGACCTATAGATGCCTCTTGCCTGTATGACAAAAATCTATTCACTGTGTTGTAGGAGATGGACCAGGAAGGCTCCTGGCAGCAGGTGTAAGCGTGGGAGGGCAAAGGATGGCTATCGTGTATGGGGAGGCTGTTTGACTTTTGTCTCCGAGGCAGCCTCGGGGCTGCTCAGGGGGAGGGGTCTTCTGCCCAAGCTTAGCACACAATAAGCTCTGTGGAGGTGCGTGAATATGTGTCCAGTGCCTCAACGGTGTCCTGTACACTGCTGGTGAGATGGCAGTCCAAGGAGTCAGTCGTGCGGCTGTACCGGTGCTGGTGCCATGGTGTGGAGCTCAGCCCTCGCTCACCGGTGCCACAGATGCCCACACAGGCCACAGGAAAGGGCTCAGATGGGCGGCCACGTATGTTCCCTCCAGCCTTGAGCTAGACATGCCCGGGCTCTGTAACGTCCCTTGTTCTTTCGTGCTTCAGGGTTACTGGTGGGGAGCTCTTTGAGGATATTGTTGCCAGAGAATACTACAGTGAAGCAGATGCCAGGTAAGACTGTTTCCAGACCCTTCTGTGTATGTGCCGTGTGTGTTGGCAAGTGGAATGAGTTTCCTGACTGCTGTTCTGTGCATGGCTTTGTTCTGACACTCTTACTCCCCATCTGGAAAAAACAATTCCTCTTTCTGCGATTAGCATAAACTATTGTCACCGGTCAGCCTGACTCACCACGGCGTGCAGACGCTGCTGTCTTTGCCACTCGCAGATGCTGTGCGCTTTGCTGGGAGACACGTTGCTAGTGGCTCTGTCTGCCTGACCATTCTGGTGGGGGGTGAGAGTGTGACCTCAGTGAGCAAACGAAGGGGAGAGCTGTCCTGTGGCTCTGAAAGAGCTGCCTGCTTGGCCCCTGCCTCCTCCTAGTAGGGGTTCCAGTGATGTGCCGTTGCTGTTGGGCAGACCCATTAAATTAGTCCATGTCTAGATGATGGTTTAAGGCACAGAGGAGAGAAGGGGTTTTGAGGGCTATGTTTCTGTGGAAGCACTCTCTGACTGTGTGGTTGGCATGGTGAGAAAGGGTGTGAGATCTGACAGCATCCTTTATACTTTAGTATTTGAAAGATTTAGTCATGGCCTTCTTTTTCTGAATGTGTCCCCTCTCTCCCATGTGTGAGCTTCCTGAAGTGGCTTGTGGTTGCCTCTTTGCTGTTCATGCAGAGTCGGGGTTTTGTGCAGCAGTAGCTGAGGGTGTTCTCTGACCCATCTGTCTGCTGAACATGCAGCATTTGGAATCAAAGCTGGGATTAAGCTGGGATCAGATCCTGTTCTGCTTTAGTAGAGCCTGGGAGTGGCCTGGTGGTGACATTTTACCCCTGCTTATTCTGCACCCGTGTTCTTATCCCATCCCACTCCTTGCTGGAGCAGGAATTAGGGGAGCTGTTAGACAAGAGGGTTAGGAAGGGAGTAGTGGGTGCTGCTACAGGGTGAGTTTGGTAGGCAGTACTGTGAGGGAGATCATGCTGAGTGCAGGGAAGGGAAGAGCATGACCTAGTGTGTTAGTGTAGGTACTGCTGTGGAGTTTGTGGCCGCTTACTTGCTTTCACTGTGGTGCACTTAGAGCCTCTGTCTTCTGAGCATTGTACCATACTTTCAAATGAGGCACCTCACTGTGTGCTCTGCCATGAGGCATCTGCTGCTGGGGAGGGCAAGGGGGCTTGTCATCTCTGATGGAGCTCCTGGCACGGAGGTCTGAGAGCCCTGTAGATGTTTTCACTGGGGTGTAGAGACGTAGTAGGCACGGCATCTCAGACAGATACAGTCACTCAAGCTGTTCTGCTTTGAAGTTGGGATGTTTTTAGGTTATCAATCATCAGCCTTCCCCCTGTCCCTCTTGCCAGTGCCTGTTCCCTGAACTGCTCAAGAGCTGGTGGTGAAAGACACTGTTCGGGAAACTTACGGCAGAGTTTGGGGAAAAGGAGAACTGTCTGTTGCTCTGTTAGCCTTTAGGATGCTCAGCCCTCTGACTGTCAGCTGGCCAGGTCTCTCAGTGCCCACAAGATGACAGAATGAAACTCCTCCCTTTCTCTCCTCATGTTGAGCTGAATTCCAGAGCAGGCTGGGAGAGCGAGGGAGCGAGGTCCGTGCCAATCCGCCGTGCTTGGCTCGCCTGGGACACCTCACACTTTTGCCATTTTTGGCCAGAAAATCTCTCTCGCTCAGACTCAGCTCTGTTCTAATTATACATTTTTGTTTTGGGACCAGGGAGATATTCATGGACTCCGACCCTGAGGCTTGTACTGCTGGCTCCGGAGGGGTGGGGGTAGCAAATACACAGTGCTGCACCTCCTCTCCTCTTCCTCCCCTCACCCTCTTCCTATCTTTTCCGGTAGCCAATTTCCCTTCCCTCAAAAATTTCACTCATTTCAAATCTGTTCCCCTGAGATTTGTAGAATTCAGTGAAGGGACTGACTGCTTCTTCAGTGAGGACACAGACACGTCTGAGTTACCCACATCTGGGTGCTTACTGACTAGCCATAGTTGTCAGAATCCCTATTCCATTCCACATTGGAGCTGGCTAAATGTTTAGTGGAAGAGATGTTTCTGACCAGAAATCTCCAGTCTCGCCCAGTGCGTTGTGCTGTTCTCATGCAACAGGTGTAAATAACATCTTGCTTTTGCCCCTATGCTTGCAGCAGTGAAAATGTCAGAAACACGGTTTTCTGTGAGCTGAGGGAGTGCAACACGCTGCACTTAACAGGGAATGAGTCTGCTTTTCAGATCGCTATAACCCCTTAAGTGGGATCTGTACTTAAAAGGCACCCAGCAAGCGGGTGTGTGCGCACATTGTGTATGTAAAGTGCTTGAGATGCTGCTCTGAAAGCTTTGCAAACTGGCAGGCGCCCAGGAGTCGTCATCCTGAATTTGCCGGGAGAGGCTGCTGCTCTCTAAAAGTTTATTTTTTGCCCAGGACTAGCCCAGCTGAATGTTTCCTGATCTTGTTTGCCCAATCTCAGCTGCTATTTGCAGATGCTCGGATGCCTCGGTTCTCCTATGTGGGGTGGGCACTGTTGGATGAAGGAAAAAGCGAGATGCTTAGTGTGATGGGGAGGAATGGAAGGAGTGATGGGAGGGAGGAGAGAGGCTTTGTGGCCCTGCTGCAGATAGGGTGTTTACCATCCTGTTGCTGACGGGGCTGGGGGTGTCTGGCTGTGACAGTGCTGAGCTATGGTGTCCAGTGGGCATGATGAAGGGATTCACCCTGGGGTCTTGAACTGGTACAAGTATAAAAGTTAGGGAAATAGTTCTGGGATGAGATGCCAAGTGTATGTGTGTGCGTAACTCTGTATGTCTCTTGTTTTATCTTGCAGCCACTGTATTCATCAGATACTGGAGAGTGTGAATCACATTCACCAGCATGATATCGTACACAGGGACTTGAAGGTAATACTTCCTCCGTGCCACAGAGGCTGAGGAAAGCAGCCAGGGGAACATTGGAAGAGGCAAGACAGGAATACTGTGTTGCCAGCTGGCAGGGGTTTTTCACCTGAACTGGGCTCAGGGGTTCCTGAAGCACAAATTTGCTCCTTTGGAGTTTTCTGGAGGGTGTGCTGAGCAAATGAGGAAGTTTTCAGTCTTCATGGACCTTGCCAGCTCTCAGCCTCTCTGAGGCAGCTCCAGAATGAAGTGGTTGTGAACCTTGGAGTGCAGTACATTTTCAGACAAACTTAGGTAGGATTCATTATAATGAAGGACACTTTCTAGTCTGCCATTGAAGAGATCTCTAGAGACCCGGGGCAATCTCTGTTCAATCTGCCAGGATGAGTTTGTCTGCACAGAGCATGTATATTTTTATTCTGCAGTGTTGCCAAGCACATGCCATTGGGCTAGGGCAGAGATGCACAACAAGAATTTTTCATGTCATTTCTTTCTTCTCTCATCAGCAGAAGTGCTTTTAATCTAAAACCAAAACTGCTGGTCAGTCAAACACTGGGTGAATCAACCATTTGCCACATTATAACACATTTATAGACCCAGAGCACACGCAGTGTAGTTACTTAAAGTCGCTTCCCACGCGGTGCCAGCTGTACTGGGAGCAGAGCAGGCTCCAGAATGAAGAGGTTTGTGCAGGAAGATGTGCCTGCCCTGGAGCCCTCTCTTTTTAAAGTGGGAATGGTGGTAGCCACCAATGGTCCAGTTAAATTAGTGTGGGATGACACCTGCTACTAGTGTTGGTTTTGGTTTGTTATACGATGTGTAAGTGGAAAAGTATAAAAATATTTTGCAGAGAGCAAAGTAACAGCAAGTTGCAAGCTCAGTGGCAATCTCCCCATGATCTCATGGACAGCTGTTAACCTGTAGTGTTTCTGGCAAAGTCCCATGCCACATTTTTGGTCTTCTCATTCAGAGCAACGTGAGAAGATTGAAGTGATCTACTGAGGAATGGCTGCTCTGGAATAGAGCTGACACCAGCTCTTGAGAAAGCAGCCTTCAAGAGGCACTACTGCCCAAAGTTAAGGCCTCTGTGAAAATCTGTACTGTCTTCTAGTGCAGGGTGGTTTAATTTTTATTTTGCGTCCTGTGTTCAGATATAATCTGTTTTGCTTCCCAAGTTTTGTTTGTGTGAAAGTTGTGAACTTATTTAGAACTGATCAGCTGCTAGGCACTCCCCACTTTAATTTATGTGTTTTCTTCTGTTGCTTGATCTGATTCACTGAAACTGTCCAGGCCTGAGGAGTAGCCATTCCTTTTAGCAATAAAAGATCCCGTGCTCTTTATTTAATATTTAGCTCCTTGCCAAACGCTTGGCCTTCAGAATCAGTGTGTAATAACTGCAGAGCTTACTTCAAATGAAGTTTTGACTTTCACATCTCCCTCTCATAAGCCTGTCTTTTGTCTGGCATGTTCTTAAAGAACTTCAAATGTTGAGCTGCCTGTAGGGACTGTCAGAAATTAGGAAATGCATTCACATTCCTTATCAAAAAGTATGTGGAACCTGAGACAACCTCAGATGTTGGCAAACATGCACATGGATAAGTACCATTATTCTTAAGATGTTAGCATGTTAGAAGCAAGTAGTGCTTAGTTAGAATAAGCCTAGTCTAAATTTCCCTGTTCCTTAGTCAAGTCAAACCCAGGTGTGAGCTGAAGTTGGGAGAGATTTTCAGAAGACTTGGTTCATCTTCTGCTTTAGAGAGTTGTTTACGCTGGTGAATTTTCATCAGTGTAGCTTGATTAACACAATCTTTTCACTCCCTATATAGTGAAAAAGCAGTGGCATCCAGATATGTTGAGACCCAGTTCCCCTTCCTTCCATGCTGCTTATGACAAGGACTGTGATGGGCAAGGCTGTTCTCCCTTTGTTCGGAGCAGAAGGAAGGCACCTGCCCAGTACTTTAAGGCGGGTGAATGAGCAAAGCATCTTGTTCTGGTCAGGCAGAACTGGGGTAGAAGGCTTCTGTGGGATCAAACTGGCGAACAAGCTGCAGAAAGACCTTCATCAGATTTGTAAAACTGAGACAAACTCTTGCTTCTTGATTTCCAGGCTTCTGTCTTGCTCAGTTAAAAAATCAAGTTGATGTGAATTGCACAAATGATCAGAAGGGGCTAGGATGAGAAATCAGATTTGTCTTGCCTGTCTACAAATTGGGTTTCCTGCAGAGCTGTAATAGCCACCACCATAAAGGTTTTGAGGTTTTGAAGGGTCCCATATAACTTGCTGCTCTGGTGCTTCAGGGGAAGCTGCTGACTCCCGGTCTAGTTTTTGGAGTTGTGTTAAGCCTTCTGCTGAAGCCCTGTGCTTGAACACAACAGAATTGTGATTCAAGTGAGATTCATATGAGGCAGAAATGTGAGGGGCAAAAGTCTGTCTCTCTTTGCTGGCACATGGAGGAAGTTACGTGGCTGCTTGTCCTATAAGGTGATGGTGGCAGTAGCAAGACAGCGTATTTTACGCTGCTGAAAATATGTAGCATGGGAAAACAGCTTACAAGAATACTCACTGCTGTGCTGCTTATGCCAATATGAGGCTGAGGCTTTTTCTGTGAGGGATGAAAGCTACTGCCTATCCAGATGATGCCTTCCCACATTATGGTGCTGTATTTGGCAGCCCTTATTAGCATCATATTTACTTTTCCCGTGCCTTAGGGACTGTGTAATGTTCATGGGGAGAAACATCACTGCAGATTGTATCTACTGCTACCCCCCCCCCCCCCGCCAATTACTCTCTGCGGGGATGACAGGAGCAAATTTTGGGTTCTGTGCTGCAGGAACTGTACTGCCAGTGCCCTCTGGTGTCAGCATGTAATGTATGGGCTGGGTTGAAAGAGGCTCTGGCTTCCACAGCAGATTTGAGTTAGACTTGAGGATTTTCTGCCACTGGATCAAGGCCCTTGGTTGCTGTTGCTCTGCCTTCACCTGAACAGCGTTAGTACATGACTGCAAAATTTAGTCAGCAGATTGAATTTAGTGATGTGAATGCTTAGGTAGGAGGCTTTAACGAAGATTCAGTCTTTCATTCTTACCCCCTTTTTTCTTTCTTCTCCCCAGCCTGAGAATTTACTACTGGCAAGTAAATGTAAGGGTGCTGCTGTCAAACTGGCTGACTTCGGACTGGCTATAGAAGTCCAGGGAGAGCAGCAGGCCTGGTTTGGTAAGAGTGTTTGAGCTTTCCCAGTTCTGCTCCTCCCTTTCCTGGTGGCTGTTTGAGTTGCAACTTCGCCAAGTGCTTTCTTTCAGCTCTTGCAGCACACTTGTGTGTTTGGCATTGCTGCTTCCCTTCCAAGCATCTCAGCCTCTGGGTCCTTGGGCACGAGCCTAAGTGTAATAAAAGAAACAATATGATAAATAAAGACAGAAAAAATGACTATGTATTTCTCTGTTTTTCTTCTCAGTTTGCAGTAGATGCTAGTGTCAGAGATGAATGAGGCTGCTAAGTTTAGACCCTGATCTGAACTTTCCTACTGCTCATAAGTGTAGACATCTGGAATTTTGTTTGGTCATTTTACAGAAGTGCATTTGACCTGGCCTTCCTCAGGCGCATTTGGATCTGGCCTTATCGTTGTTCAGCTAAAACATAGATTGAGAAGGTCTCATTTCTAACTAAACATCAGCTTTGAGGCTCTGCAGTGCTGTGGATTCTGGAGAGATGGCTGCTTCTCCTGGTCTGTGCACACCATTTGGCAATCGGATGTGTCCCATCTGTGTCTTGTGTTTTCAAACTCCAAGCCATTATATGTAACAATGATATAAAGCCTGGCGCATGAGTTTGTGCCCAGCTGGCTGACATGGTCCCTATTTCTTTTATGTTTTTTTCTGCAACACATAGACACTCGATCCCATTTGATTTTCTTTAATCTTCTTTTTTTTTTTTCTCTTTCTGTTGGTTTGTCGAGACGTAGCTCTAGCAAATATGAGATGAAGGGTGGGAAATGGGTTTCGGAATTTGTTGGTTACCACTAGTACATTTTGTGATATGGTAATGGTACTATAAAGTGCTTGATGTCATACATTTCCTGGCAGGGTTTGCTGGCACTCCAGGCTACCTCTCCCCTGAAGTCTTAAGAAAAGATCCTTATGGAAAACCAGTGGATATATGGGCATGTGGTAAGATTTTGTCAAAACATTTTTACACTTAAGCAACGCTGGTTCATGTAGAAGAGCAATTCCTTATAACCTGTTGTTGGGAGGGTGTGCAGTGCTCCTTATTGGGTGCAGAGATGAAGGTACACTTAAGGATAAGCACCTTGTGCAGATGGAGTTAGTACTGGAGCCTGAACTCATTTGATTCTGGCTCCTAATCCTTTCCTCAGGCCATCTATCAGATGTTTGAGACTGAAGAGATAGGACCTGTCTATGCTTTGCAGAGCCTGTTGTTTAGATAACAGTAGCAATTTCCTATTACACTAACTATGCAGAAGACAAAATACTGGACAGAGCACATTTTTTTAGAAGGAAAAAATGAAGTGGAAGTGTTTCTGGGACCAGTAAGTTTAAAGATATGTGATATTGGTGCTCCCTGATATGGACTAAATGGTTTTCCGCAGGCCAGGAGTGTTAGCTTTATCAGTGTCATTTTTGTCCCAAGAACATGTAGAGAAGGCATCTAAAAGCATGGTCCTTCCTAAAAAGTCCTCAGCTGCCCAGCAACCCCAGGTGATCTGACTTCATTTTACTCTGAGAGCAGCTGGGAGTTGTGGCTCACAAGCCGTGACAGCCAGAGGAAGGTAGAAGCTCCTGGCAGCTGGTGTTAAGAGCTGAACATGAAGGGCCAGGGTGATGTTTAGCAGAGGAGAGGTTTGTACTGCCTTTTTCTACCTCGGAAGGCTAAATATGATGGCAAATGAAGATACAGAGCAATTGTTGCCCTGGGGACTGTCAAGAGGGAAGGAAGAGGGGCTGAAGGAATAATTGGCATATTAGCCTAACCATAGTGTATCTGTGTCTCTCCCTCCCAGGAGTGATTCTGTACATATTACTAGTGGGGTACCCTCCCTTTTGGGATGAAGATCAGCACAAACTCTATCAGCAGATCAAAGCCGGAGCCTATGACGTAAGGGCACTTTCTTGCTGAGTACCTGCATGGGTGTAGAAGTCATCCAAAATGTGGCACTATCTTACTTGGTGTCCAGCAGCAGGCCCCAAGCTACTGTGCAAAGTGGTGTCTGGTGTGTTCATACACCTCCTTGTCTTCACTGCCTGGGATACATTCCTGTTTGGGGCCGCTGAAAGGATATCTGGAAAGCATCGCAGTGGGCAGCAAGATGTTGCTGGTCATTAGGGAAATGCAGAGCTGGAAACACAGATGGTGGGAAATGGTGTCTTCTAATGCATTTACTACAAAGTGCTGCAGATGTAGCCAATGCTAACTCTGAATAGAGGAGCAGAGGGAAGGTAGAATGAAAGCAGCTCTTTACTAAGGCCTAATTAAAAATATGGAGAAGTATTCTGTAGAATACTGGCTTAAATTATGGCCTCTGGTCTCCTCAGTTTTGTTGTGGAATTTCTTCCAACTGTGGAAAGCATGGAGCCCAGTGAGAAGACTAAATGGCCTTTGGAGGGTTGGCTTTGTGGTGGGGATCGGCAGGGTGGGTTGGAGGCTCTGACAAAAAGCCAAGCAGTTCATGAAACGGTTGTCAGAGCATGGCAAAACTGAAGTGTAAAAAGTGCCTGAAGGACAGGAATAGAAAGGAGGTTAGTACTGGGAAGCAAAGGTGGTGTAAAATGTGGTTTGGGTACCATAGCTTGAATATTTGATACAAATTCTTCCAAGGAAGAAGGAACTCCTGGAAATACTATCTCCAAGCCTGTGAGCATAAACATCAAAAGGAAATCAGGGGGTTAATTTTGTAGGGTTGTATTCTGGTTTGTATTGAAAAAAAAAGGCAGCAAGGGTTTTACTGGACCCAGTTACCTCCCAGCTTCTGAGCCTGACACCGTGAGAGCAGCTGTGCTGGTGAGAACAAAGGTCTTCCTAACCCTGTGTCCTGGTTCAGTGGCTTCCTGAGTGAAAGGAAAGTAATGTTTTTGTACTTGAGAGCATTAAATGAAGTTGTATTCTTCTCTTGCTTTCCTGCCCCTTCTGTTTGTGTGTTACTTGTTCTTATTTCACGTGGTTTTGCACTAATTATATTGATGGGCATTTTCATAGCACTTCAGGGGTTAAATGTCCAGCTCTTTCTGTGAGTCATGAGGAATGAAGTGCCTGATGTCTCCTATCTACCTATTGTTTTTGAATTCTTACCTGTAATGAGCAAGTTCCAGTAGACTCCTCCCGTTTTACATGATAGAAAACAGCTCAAGTTTCACTGACATGCCTGGCCCTGGTGTCCTTACCCCAGAGCCAAGGGGCTGTACGCACAGGACTGGTCTGTTGTTCTCTCTTGACCACAGAGGAGGTGACAACTATGAATTGGACTTTATGCTGTTGGGTAGGAGCTTTGCAAGGCATTACCATGAATGCTTCAAATTTCAGGTTGAAAGAAAGCGTCCTGGCTTCAAAGCTCAGTAGCTCAGTGTCATAATTTTTGAGTAGTCTCTTGCATTGTTTGCAGAACAAATTGTATAATGCCTTGCTGATGAATGAAATTATATGTGAATCAAATGTGGTGGGTGTATTTTTATGACTCAACTGAGCAAAGCACAAAAACTAGGAGAAAAACTTTATTTAGAAGAAGTAGTACTTTTAGGAAACGTTCTCAGAATAGATCAACGTTTCCCCCCTCCATCCATTTAAAGATAGGGGACTTCATCCTAGCAGCACATTTATCTTTGTGTTCTCAAGTTCAGCTGTATTTGTACAGTAGATTCACAGCAGTTAGACATACTGCATATAATCTCAGCATGCTGTTGCCCTTACCATATGCAAGCATCTGGAGGATGGCACAAATATCATTATTGGAATTATGGGATGATCATTATTGGAATTATTGAATTATCATTATTGGAATCATGGATGATCAGCAGCTGAAATACTTGACATTCTTTTCTTTGTTTCCGTGCTTCTGTATTCCCATCCACTATTACATCTCCCTCGCTCCCCAAGTGATGATTTCTGATTTGGTAGATGTGGAGAAGTTGCTGGTAGGTTTCTACACCTAAGTGACTGGTGTTGTTCTAAGATACAGCACTTTGTGATGGGGAAAGTATACCTGATGGGTTGTTCTCTGCTAATGGTTTTTGCTTTCTGAGGTTTTGCTGTAGTTAAGTGTTTGTAATTTTGCATATGCTGTTATAGCTTTTTAGCATGATGGAGAAAGAGCAAGATGGGGTAAAAAACACGGTGCTTCTGTTTTTCATGTCAGAACTCGGTTAAAAAGATCTGTGACTTTTCTTTTTTGACTGCTGAGTGTGAAAGAAATTCAAAGATCTGAGTGATTCCTAAAAAGCTTTTAAATTGTAAATCTTCCTGTCTGTGTCTGGTTGAACGGTACAGGTGTGTTCTGCTGTTTGGTACCATTCATTTCGTGGATTCTGTATGATTTTCGTTCAGCCTGGGTTTTCACAGAAATTAATTTTTGAAAATATATTAACCCTAGTATTAAAAGGGAAAAAGCTGGAATTCAGCTGTGTAGAAGGGAGAATCTCTCCTGCTAGGAGAAAATATTTTCAGTTCATCATCTATTCCTTCTTCCTCTTTTAGTTCCCGTCACCAGAATGGGACACTGTGACTCCTGAAGCAAAGAATTTGATCAACCAGATGCTGACGATAAACCCAGCAAAGCGCATCACAGCTGACCAGGCTCTCAAACATCCATGGGTTTGCGTAAGTGTTTTCATCTATTACAGATTGATTTGTCATTTACTCTGAACTGACATGTCAAGAAGACTTAGTTGCAGAGGAACCCAGAATATTTTAAATATTTCAAATTGTGATTTTTTTGGAGGCTGACCTTCAACAAGCCAACTTTGTCATGCAGTGGTACTTTTATTGCCACTGTAGGAAATGAATGTTCATAGTTCCTGCTTTTTCCCACATCTCTTCCAATCTGTATTTTCCTAAAATGCCAGACAGAGTTTGGCATAAACCAAAATATTTTAGGATTATTTTGTTCTTCATCTCTACTTCAATTTATTCCATTACATCTTTGCAGTGTTGGACCATTTCTGCTCTGTTGCAGCTTAACTGGCGTAAACCTCAAATCAGCGAAAAATCTTCTGCTATTCTGTGTAATTTCTGCCTTGCCAGACTGCACACATAAGTATTTTTCATCTTTTTCAAAGTTGGCAAGGAAATCCCAGAATGCATCTGGGAGGAGGCGTAGGAGAGCGCAGCAATGATGCACTTCTACCTCTGCAGGATGGAGTAGTTCCACCTAAGTCTAACCAGATGCTCTTGTAATACCATAGCTTATCCCTTCTTTTTAGGATGTGTCTAGTGTGTTCCTTCACTTTTTTCCTTGAGAAACTGGGTTGAGTTTCTTGGGTTTTTTTCTGTCACAAAACAACAAATTAACAATTTAAGCTTACTTATTTGAACATCTGTAACAGCAGAACATCTGTAACAGTCTGCTGTAAAGTGATACAAGTTCCTTGGAAGTCAAAACTTAACATTAGCTGACATTTTGCATTTCTGGTTTTGTGGTGGGTTTTTTTTCTGCCTTACATGCTTGTAATCTGTAGCAGTTCCTGTGTATTTTAACTTTTGTCCCAATGCCTGTAACTAAAAGATGGATGTATTATGATAGCTTGCTCCCTGTGGCAACCTAATGTAGAGCAGTTCAAGAGAGGCTTTCCTCCTCTGAGTTATGGGGAGAAGTTAAAATTCACAGCCATTTCAGTCTCTTGCCCAAGCTGCCTCCTGTTGAGTCTCGTTTCCATTTACGCTGTGGTCTCTGTGTGCTCAACATACATTTTCTTTCTGGAGATGTATTGCTCTTCTGAAGTGAAAGTGGTACAGGAAGTCTTAAAAGTTCATCTGAGACACCTTCTTAGCATCGCTGAACTTCTGAAGTATATGTCCTGAGTCCTGTAAGCCCACACTGAACAGCTGGACATCACTGTCACTCCTAAGGAGGCTGGATGGGCAGTGACCACCAAAGTTCTTGGAGGACAATTTAGCCATATTCTCCCTCCGCCTTGCCATGTGTACAGCAGCAGCTGACTTGATGGCTGGATCAAAGCAGAAACTTACCATGAAACTAGGGGAATATAGATGTGGTTTACATTTCTTTTGGATATTGCAGACTTTTTTTCCAAGCAGAGGAAAGGTATTGGAGGGTTTGTACACACTGATTCACCAACTTAGCAATTCACCCACTGTCCTTGGAAAGGGAATTCAGGCTTGTGGCTCTATGCAAGAGCAACAGCTACTTTGGCCTCAGTCTCTGGTTTCCTCATGTGCTGTAAATGCCTGGAAGCATCAGTCTCTGGTTTTCTCATGTGCTCTGAATGACTGGCAACACTTCTACGAAGTTCTCTTTTTGCAACTGATGGGATCCCAGTCTACTGTGGGTGACAGGTATGCATCACTGGTCAGAGGTTATGCTTAGGTTTTGCACTGGTACAAGAGAGCTGTATGATCTTTCCTCTTATACATTGAAAATCTACTTCTGCAAAACTGATGCAAAGATGGTGAGGTTTCTGCTAATCAAGCACTTACAGTTGGGGAGTTGCCATTTCCAGGAAGGCTCCCACTCACTAGTAGTCACTTAGAGCTTAGAATTTCCCTTTAGAGCTGTAACTAATGCAACGCAGATCTTTTCTGTAGTGCCTCTAACTCAGTTCCCCATAGGTATGCTTATTCATTTGACATTGTCTTCTTACTGTCTTGATCCATTTATGTGCCTGAGAGACGGGGAACATTGATTCTCACCTGTATCTCAGAGTTTCTTGGGCACTGTCACCAACCTTGGCTTAACGTGTCTTGCTGTGTGGGGAAGATCTTGAGTTATGAACCAAATGCAGTGGTTAGCAGACATGCAGTGGTGAGAGGCTTGGCCACTTTGGTTTGCATGTCATGGTTGTCTGCAAGTGCAGTGAATTCTCCAGGCTGCTTTGGTCAGGGTTATGTTCTTGATCTTTTGCTGTTCCTGTCTTTCAGCAACGATCTACTGTTGCTTCGATGATGCACAGGCAGGAGACTGTGGAATGCTTGAGAAAGTTCAATGCTAGAAGGAAGCTAAAGGTAAGTATATGTTAGTTTGCTTAAGTTTGTGTTTAATCCTCTGAATTTGAGGTTAATTCCTTCCTACCAACAATATTTTTTTTTATGATTATCTCACTAAGGTTAGTGAGGTACCTTATGTGGTCCTCCAGTACAGGGTACTGAAGTAGTGTATTGAGGAGCTGGGTAATTTGTTTCTCCAAAGCTGTAAGTTTTCCATGCCTCTTCTGCTACATAATCACCCCTTCTAGTTTCTGCTGGAGAGTTGAAATAGAGCAACTAGTTCTTAAATCATGGAACTTTAGTTCTCATCACTCTCTGCCTCCCAGTAATATCGTATCAGTTGCTGGTGGCTAGGGCAAAGCCTCTGGCCTGTGCGTGAAGTAGCTCTCTGCTCTTTGAAAGCTGAGGAGCAGCTATGTGTCTAAGCATACCTTGTAGTGCCATTTTAGATTTCGTAGGCTATCCTGCCTGACCTCTGCCTGCCACTCTAGGAAGGCAAGACTCCAAGCAGCACCGTGTCAGGTCCAACAGCCACACACAAAAGTCCTGGATACACTAGCACTTTCCAGGGTAGCATTGGGATACCTCTGCTTTGGCACCCGATGCACTGTGTTCTTCATGGGTCAGCCCAGCCCCTTGCTGAAGCAGATGACACTGTCTGTTGTTCCTGTTCTCTCTTCCCTACAGGGTGCAATCCTCACCACGATGCTTGTGTCTCGGAATTTTTCAGGTAAGTTTTCATTGTTCCCATCCCTTCCTTGGTTTTGTTTTGTGGGAATGAGTCAGGGGATATTTTAACCATTTAGGGTCAAGTAGGAGGGGAGAAAATATGCTCACAGTTCATCATGGTGTAGTGGTGGTTGCTTTACCTTGGCTGGTGACCAGTACGAAATAGGAAGTGATTTGTTTGGAGAGGAGCACGTAGCACTGTAGGCTGGTACTAAACAGAAATAAAGTCAGCTGCCACATACTTCTGATGATATCATGTTATTGGACTATTTTTGAGAAATTCTAGTTGGCATTTGTTAGCTTTCCCATCTGAAACCAGGAGTCAAGAACTCTTATTAGGTAGCAGTGATTCCTTTAGATCTGAGGCAGGGACATAGGGCAAGTAATAATAATGGTGAGAATAGGGACAGCAGCTATTTGGGTGTTGTATTACTTTGACTCATCAAAAATGCGTCTGAAACATCTTCTTGGAGTCTTAGAAGTGATTTTCATCCTTTTAAGCTTAATAACTGGTAGTCTGGCTCCCACCCAACTGCATTACGTAGTCCACTTACTGAAAATGCAAATCTCAACATGCAAATCAGTGCTTTTTGGAAGATGATTGTCTTGGCTCAGCACATCTAGGTGATGCAGTCTTATCTATATTCATTTCCATCTGGGTGGAAAACCTCTATTTGCAAGTGCTTTTGGTTTATGGGATTGTTTGCTTTCTTTGCCCTCTCTGCCTTTCTTTTCCTCTTTTAAAAAGGGCAGTTATTAAATGCATGAGTCAGATTTTTATTGCACCTGACTACAGTTACTTTCAAGTGAAAGTCTGCTGTGTGGCTTTTAAGTGATGGTAAATGAAATGGAAGTGCATTAATTTCATATGACCATTTACTAATGGTGGGTACCAATACTTACTTTCTGGGTGGTGTTACAGTAAACTTCTAATTGGAATGAAAACCTCTGTGATATGATCATCCCAGCATTCAAAGTGCCCACTCATGCATACATTTCTCTGTGAAATCATGACAGCATTTTAATCTCCTCTGTGGTGATTTAAAAAAAAAGAAAATTAAAGGATGTAAACTCAAGCTACAATTAAGGGACAACCCTCAACTTCAGAATGTTTTCTCCTTGGTTCCTGCTTTCAGGTGAACCTGTACCAATATGTCAGGACTGCTTGTGGCTACAGCAATTTCTTTTTACTGTATTTCTGATAGTTTGGCCTTAAAGGGACAGAATAATTTTCTCCGTTCACCTGTCCCAGGATTGTGCTATTACAGAGTGTGAAAATTATACGTTGTGTTTGGAGAATGTCTCTAAAATAACTGTTTCGGGAGTTATAACATAAAGACAGGGCTTCCTCAGGGCACTACAAAACTTACTGTCTCTTGGGCTTTCTGTTGGCGTGAACTGTTTTTGATCTCTTCACACAGATAGTTTTTATTTCACTTAATTGGTGATTCTGAAATAGTCAGGGATTTTATTTTTTTTAAATAGCAGTTTTAGATTCATTTTTAGTCTGCAAATGTTGTCACTTCTAATGAAGCTGCAGAAGTGCTTGGGTAAGGAAATCTCCTGTGGCCCAGATTTTGAGTACATGAAATGCCTGAGAGAAGGGTTCTCCTTAATGGTGTGTGACCTATACATCCACTTACTCCCTGAGCTAGTATCGAGGAGGAAGAGGCTTGCTCTGCTCATTCTTCTCTGTCTCAAGGGCTGAAGCTGCTGGATCTGCTTCAGTTAACAGCTGAAGAAAAGGAAATCCTAGGTAGCTCATAGTGTGTGGGCAGGATTCTCAGTATCACTTAAGTTCTGCTTTGAATATAAGCTGTGATCCCAGGTAATGAGTCGCTCTGAAAAACTGTCCAGGAAGAAATGCTCTAAATTTAAATGCAAAGCATTTATAGTCTCTGAGGGTACTAGCAATTCCTAGTATTTTAATGTGTTTTGATGTGTTTACAAACTCAGGAGATCCACTACTCTTGTTGTCTTTGTAGGACTGTGTATAATATGAGCTTGACATTTTTATTATTATTATTTAGTTTACTTTGTGTTTTTAATTTCTGCAGTTGAAATATGTAAATCTACTGGAACTGAAGAATAAGTGTGTGCTAATTGAATGTAAGAAGTCCATGTGGAAACTTTGGGTAGAGCTCAGACTTCTCATATCATAAGTCTCATCTAACTGCTTGAAAGGTTCTGAAACGGTCCTTGTTTCGTTCCCTAAAGACCTTAAGGGGTTCTTTTTTTTCTGTAATTGGGTGACACTGTTTGTGGGCCTCTAAAAGCCCCATTCCCAGCAGACAGGGAACTAGATTTATGAAGAGAGAAGCTTCTTCCTATCTGATGATGAGATCTTCTAAAAGCTTCTTCACGGATGTTTTGAAACAAGAGGAAGATGAAGGCTCATGTGACCCTTGCATCAATTAATTAGGCACAATAGTAATGTCTGCAGGAAACAGGAGAAGACTTCTTTAATCCTGTTGTCATTACTATCTCCTCTGTCACATTTTGTAATGTGGATTTCCTTCATGTGACAGTGTAGTTTTATCTTGTGACAAATTGTATGCTTAAAGAGTCTGTAGCAGTACTCTTTCTCTTTTTTTATCATCAGAAAATCTTACTTTCTACAAAACAAACCTAAAGTTTCTTTTATGAGTAATCTGTTGCTTGCTAGGTGCCTATTGCCCCAGGTCATTTCTTAAAGCTAAAGAAACATGATCTATCTCTTTTCCTCAGTTATAGTATATTCAGCAATTTAATATTGGCTGCTTCTGGTTCTTTTTGAAAGAACCTGACCTGTCTCAGGTTAGCTGTAGCCTGTTTGTTAAAAGCAGCTACAACTGCGCTCCTTTCAGTCTAAGTCAGGAGATTGAGACCTGGTTATAAGCAGTTTGGAGCTTCTGTCCGTGCTGTGGTAGGTGTTCGCTCAGCTACAAGAGGGACCAATCTCAACTTCACTGTGGAATCTTTAGAGTCACACCAGGGTATACACAGGGTGATTTGGGTGCTCACTTGTGGCTTTTGATGTTCAGATGATGCAAACAAATACTCAGCTGATCCGTGTCCATTTACAGAATACAGAAGTACAGTCAGGTAGAACAACTGGTTACGGCGTATGCAAGAAATTCGTAAATCACATTCTGAAAAGTAAATGTGAATTTATTACTGGGAGAAAGTTGACAAGGTTTTCACAGATTCCTAATAGCTGCAGTATTTAAGGCTGCCTGGATTCATTTATGTAGATAAAACTCTGTAAGTAAGATTGCTCTAAACTAAGTGAAAGGACGGACAGAATTGGTTTTCATCCTGGAAACAACCATCTTCACAAAGTGCTGAGAAGTGGCTTTTCACCATAAGTTAATTTTAATGAACGACTTAAAAGTGGACTACACTCCTACTGTTTTCCTAACTGGATTATTGCAACTGTTCATTTGGGGAGGAGTTGTGCAGCAAGCTTTCAAGCTCTATGATAAATTCACTTCTCTCAAGTGGTTCAGCATGAGTCCTGTGTTCAAAATAGATCCGAAGGCAGACTTTGCAGGTAATTAAGCCTTAAGCCCAAAACCTCTATCTTTAACTGATGCTGAGGGTTTTTTTCTTAGGAATTGTCATTGCTTGCTCAAGTCAGTTTTGTGAGGGAGCTATTGCGGTAGTTTGTGACAACAGCTGGAATTCATTACCTGTCTCTACAGATCCTTATTAACTTGGATGTTCAGTTTTGGGTTTTTAACTCAGTAGATGAGGTTGAAAGAGGCTGGAGACAGAGTGGAGAAAGAGACTGGGAGCAGAGTGCTTTCTAACTAAGTGAAGAAGGGCAGAATATGCCTGTGCATGTTTGATGTAATCTGTACAGAGACAGTTTTGGACTGACTGAAGATTAAGAAGGAAATAATAGAAATACTGAAGTGGTACTGAAATATGTCACTGTCCTATCTGCCTTCCAGAAGTGTGTATAAAACTGTTTTGTTTTTTTTTTTACTATTTTGTGTGTGTATACATGTATATATTAATAGTCAAATTGGAATTTGGATTCTTTCCTTTAACCTAAGTGAAGTTTAAACCGTGTGAGTAATGCATTTCAAGTCTCTGTTGTGTTGTGCTAGTTATGTAGATACCCATTCAGGAACAAAAGTTTCTATCACCGGAGTCACGTGAACACTAACTCCTTGGTATGAATGCAAAGGATAAAAATATGGATGAAAAAGTTATCAAGGTGTTTCCAGAGAGCTTTGAATAAAGGAGTGCGAGATCACTGGGAACCACATTTCCCAAGCAGAAGATGAGGTCACATTTAATAAAAATTAAGTTATTTTTCAAGTGATTTCTCTGTATATACTAAGTTGCTTAACAAAGATTCAGGGATTTCAGAGAATGGTGCTCAACTACTACAGTGTGGACTTACGGAAGTTATGTACTTCAGTAAGTAACCTTTAATTTACAGCTTCTCACAATCACATGGATTTCATTGCTGCATTTAAATATTTATCATTATGACCTGAGAGTCTACTTTATCATCAAAAGTGGATTTAAATTATTATAAAAATTCCCTTTACTTCTGTCTTCCTAAAATTCTGGAGAACTCTGTGAAGGTCTTTTCTTGTGATATTTGCTCTTCATCCTTTCACTTCTTGGTTTGTCATGAAATTGAGTTTTTCTAATACTGCAAGAGAAGTGCTCTCATTTTTATCAGCTCTTGAATTTGGGAGAGACTGGGGCATTCAGTCTCAAAAGTCTAGGGTGAGTGTTCAGACTGTTTTGACCCTTGAAGGTTCTGCTTCTCTTTGTGTGTGTACATAAGCATACGAGCAAAGAGAGTGTCTTTCAGGATGTGAAATTTCTGCATTGCCCGGAAGGTGTTTGAAAACATTAATTGAAATGTCACAAACGATCAGATTGACTCCTGGTTTTTGGCTTTTTGTATGTAGTCTTGCTGGAGAATGTTTTGGTTTTCTGAGGCAGAGATGAAAAAAAGCAGAAGGAAACCACCTGGCTCCCACACAATTTCTCCATTATTCACTAGGGGGAGAACTGGGAGCTCTGTGACTTGTGCCAAGAGGACAGCATTGGGCTGTGGATCTCACACTTTAGTTTTAATCAGTGCTTCTTCCTCTTTTAGTCTTTTTCTGAAAACCATTGGGGCATGTCTGGGAGATGGGTATGTGCCTTCAAACACTATCTCCTTAAGGTTTTTCCAGGGCCTTCGAAGTATTGGATAGGAAATGAGGTGTCTGCTATGTCTAGAGATCCTGTGGGTCCAGGTCACGTAAAGGTTTGCATAGGGTTGCGGTTTCTACCTGCCTTTCCACCTGGTTCTATGCTTCTCTTTCTGTTTGAAGTAACTGACTGCTTTTCATGGCACTTTGTTTATCCTGTAGCAGTTCTTTGAACAGAATCTCTAGTCTTACTGAGGAATAGAAGCCCTCATGGAAAACTTTTCACTGAGGAGGGTAATATTAGATGTTACTCTTGTCTCTTGTTCAGGTACACTTCTGGAACAGTAGTGTCATCTAGGGAACAGAGGAATTTAATAGCAAAGCATGAATGAAAAATAATAATGAATTTTTCAGCAAGAGAAAGAGTCCATATTGTAAATTCTGCCAGGCAGTTATCCCGTGCAAATAGGTTATCTTTGTATTGGTGTCTCACTTGGTGCGTAGTGTTCCCATGCCATTGCCATTGCAACAAGTTCCCAAAGCAAGTTACTGGAGAATCTAAAAGGGATTCTTCTGAGAGAGAAACCAAAGTGAGGATAGAGGATGCAAGACAACAACTGCCACCTGTTCTGTGAAATCACTCTGCTGTGTTTAAATGGCTGCTGCTAGAGTGACTTGTGCCTAAATAGCCATCGTGGCAGAGAGCTAAGTGTCAGTATTTGCTCTACTTTGAATGGATAGATGTTCTTGAAGTTATGCTGCATTTGTGGGCATTGTTTGTGATGGTAGCCAGAGGTGCCTCTGATTATCAGGTGCTTTGTGGTGAGCACCAGAAGTGACAGCAAGTTGAAAATTAGTTGATCTGGCTTTCTCTGAACTGAGAATATGAGGATGACAAGCCACAACTCTTGTCATTGGGAATTCTGTGTTGGTAGGATGCAGTTTTTACTTTAATAAAAAGTCTCAGCACAGTCCAAAATTCTTCATGTTGTAACTGTTTGTGTTTAGAAGCCAGAATGTCGCCTGTCTGTTAGGCTAGCATCATGAGTTAGTCAGGTTTAACAAAAGCAACCTCAGTGTTATCCCTGCATCCCAAAAAAAATCCTCTTTGGAAACTTAACCTAGATGTTAGGTGTGAGAAATGTGACTGAGATTTGACACTTGGGGACAGGGCAAACAGGGGACACGCTGGGTGAAGGACTGCCTTCTCTGGAAGAGGAAGGTTGGGGCTTTATTGCTGATGAGTTCAGCATTAGGGATTTGTGTTTCTGTCAGGATCACAGTCCAGAACCTAGGCTGTTTCCTATGGAAGCCAAAACTGAGAAATGTGGGAAGAGGGAGAGGTATATGGGGTGTGCACGGGTGAGGCCTTTTGTGTTTCTCTTCAGAGGTTAACTGGAGGGTGTCCTGTTAAACCAGAGGCAGAACTGTGCTTGTTACAGGAAGTCTTGTCTGTTGCTTGCTGCAGGAATTCCATCCCCTTTAATTTCTGTCTAATAACAGGCACAGGTTGACCTGTGAGTCCCTTTTGTTTGAGGTGTCTGCAGTCATCTTTGCCTGTGAGTGCATTTCACGGGCTCTCCAGTTGTTGCTACAAAACACAGGATGATGCATGAACCAAGTGCACCACAGAGCATGTATCCTGCAGTGCTGGGATGCTGCCAGGCCTGTGGGAGACCAGCATGTGCCCTGCAGAGGTACAAGCAGGGACGAGGGGCTAGATGGGCAGGATGCTCTGGGGAGCCACTGGGCCAGCGTTACGTAGTGCTGGGCTGTGTGAAGGCACTCTGAGCTGAATTTGCTTTTAACGCTGCAAACTGTGATTTTTGCTGTCTTCTGCCCAAAAAGACAAATGGGAGGTTCTGGGGAAACTGCAGAGAGTGTGAAAGATGTTGCTTCCCAGCTTGTGTCTGGGTCATTCCCAGGACATATGGTGGTGCTGTTTCCCTTCTCTGATTTTTTTTTTTCTTCCACTTCAGGGATGCCCCATTTGTGATATGTGTTAAGCTGCAGAACCCTTTACTCCTTCTGAAGTGTTGTAAGGCCATAACAGTTTCTTGTTTCCAACAGGTGTTGTGCAAGATGCCTTGATATATGTGTGGTATAAAGGCTGCACCTCTTTTGACCCCATGGTCACCTTGTACTCCTTCTCACTTGCATGTGGAATCAAGCTAGTCAGCATCACACCTTCAAGGAGTCAGGAACTTCTCTGTTAGACTCGGTCTTGCAGTGCTTTAGTATGTGTACACTCAGCAAAGAAACTGTTGCAGGGCAGATGAGTTGCTTGAGTCACCCTGTGAACCTTCATGTGTGCACATTGGATCATAGTGTTTTGACCCATTACATTCAGAAAACATCTGCATAAGGTTCTTCCAGTGTTCTTGGATGGTTTCTGA